TGCTGTCATTGTCGGTACCAGAGAGCCGCGAGCGCCTCGACATGTTGTGTTCGATCGTCGACACCATCGTCTTGGTCTCTTCGTCAATGCCGCCTTGCCAAATGACGCTCACGAGCAGCGTGCACACGGGGATGCAGTAGAGAAACAGCATCACTTCCAGCGGGACATGGGATGTCACAAAGAGACCAAGGACCACTTGGACGAGGCCGACGACCCCCACCTTTAAATATGCGACGGGTGGTAGCCCAATCACGGCAGGTAGCGACACCAAGAAGGCTGCGATCGGCACCGCAATCATCATCGAAGCGGTTTGCGTCGACATGACTTGGTCGGTCGTCGCATTGGTGCCGTGCAACACAGTGTCGGTGGTCGTAAGCGGGTCGACCGTATTGGCGCAGCGCGCGACCATAAAGAGCCCGGTGGCAAACGCCGCAAGGGAACCGTGAATGAAAAAGTGGCCGCGGCCAATTCGAAAGGCCGTGCTCGGGTCCGCGTCCATGACGTACCCAAAGGGCATGAGGAAGTAGAACCACCAGAGCATGAAGAGCAGGATCATTGAGAAAATGAGCGTTGCGAGCGACCGGTAGTTGAAGAATGTCGACTCGATGACCGTGGCACGGGAGAGCGAGAGGAGGCACTCGCCAAACACAATGATCGTAAACTCCGAGTAGCGCTCCGAAATGTGATGGGCGTGGTACCGGTGCTGCACGGGCGACGTGGCAATGATCACCATTGGAACGCCGAACTCGAGCAGCCCTAAAAGAACGTAGCACACTTGGAAGACGAGGTCGCTCATGTCGCTATGAAAGAGCACGCCCCAGCCGACAAGGAGAAGAAGACTCGCGGCCGAGCACTTGACGTTAATACCGCGGTGCTCGGGGTCCTGGTACGCGGCCCGGCCGCGGAGAAACACTTCGAGGAAGAGCCGCAAAATCACATAGCCAACGAGCACCTCCGAGAGGTTGTTCTGAATGCCGTCGGCGACGACGAGGATACCAATCATTTGCCCGAGCGTCCCGATGCGGTAGAGCACGTCGTCGACGTCATACGAGGACGAGAACCAAATGAACGGCAGCCACGCGTTCCAGATCGTAAAGAAGAGCATGACAAATTGTACACAGTTGCGAAAAATGCTGTCCCCGTACTCCATCGACTTGGCAAAGACGTGCGAGACCGACGATAACGCGACGACGAGCGTGAGATCGTAGAGCTTCTCAAGCGACGTCGACTTGCGGTGCAGCTCTTTCGGGTCGCGGCCCCGCATTGGCTTGTGGAACGGGTGGTTCAAACTGCCTTTTCGGAGCACGGGGATCACCCGATACCGGTTGCGCGGGTGCTTGGCCCACGACGCGTTGGCCGACTTGGTGCGGACGAGGACGCTCGGCGACGAGCTCGCAGAGCGCAGCACGCGCGGCGGCTGAACGTGGACCACCGTGCCGTCCTTGGCCCGCTTCATGCACCCAACACCACGAAGGACCGAGAATGGGTTTCTGCGCCTGTCTCTCGTAGTCAGGAGCTATTTTCGTCGAAGTCGTGAGTGAGATAACGCTCTATCATTCGTTCCCCCATTACACAGTCGGCAGCAACCGTGTTGATGCGCCTTGCTGGAGCAAACATTGACCTTTGAACCGGCATGTTCTACTAGTATCAACCACCACCCACACCTCACCAGGGTCGTAACCTTGCAATCGCCACGGGGCGGGCCCACAGATCGTATCGCCGTGACGAGCCTCATACGTCGTTATTCGAGTAGGTTGCAAAACGTCATCAGACTTGAAAAGGCGTCGTGTTCAAAATAGCACCCAGTACACGTCATGGCAAGCGGGCAAGTCGAGCCGGTGCTCGTGGCCAAGTCGGCGAATGCGGCGTGGGCGTTAGAGCCCGTGCGCTCCAAGTACACCCTCGAACGCACCTCGTCCCTTCACCACAGTGTGTTCCATACGCCCATGACGGGGCGTGACCCGAAAGAGCGGAATCGCAAGTCGACGCCACTCGAGAAGCTCTTTGACTTAACGCTGGTCGTCGCGCTCTCGGCCGTCTCCAACGTCTTTGCCACCTCGATGCAGCACGGAGACAACCTTTTTCAAAACACCGTTCTGTTCATCATGCTCTTCTTTGCGGTCTGGAATGCGTGGCTGCCGTTCACGTGGTTTGCGTCCATGTACGACGTCGACGACGCCTTGTACCGGCTCGCGACGCTCGGGCAAATGGTCGGACTGCTCGTCGTCACCGACGGCATCAAGTACGACAAATCCGAGGTGATTGCGGGGTATGTCATTTTGCGCCTCTCGCTCGAAGGTCTTTTGCGCGGTCGCGCTGCAATCTACGATGTGCGACACCGGCACTTGACCGTGCGGTCCATGGCGGCGAGCTGTACCGTGCTCGTTGGCTGGGTCGTGCTGTTTCAGGCGACATTGTCGGAGGAGATGTTTGAAGCGTACTACTTTGTCCTTGGTCTTCTCGACATTGCGCTGCCGAGCCTCGTCGCCCATAGCAACGAGGTGCGCTTCCACGCGCACCACATCTCGGAGCGATACGCCGAGTTTACGATCATCATCTTTGGCGAGTGCCTCCTCTCGCTCTCCCATGCGACCGTCTTGCATGGAGCCCACGGCTTTAGCTACGACGCACTCGCAATCTTGATTGGATCGATGCTCCTCCTCTTCCTCCTCTGGTGGTTCTACTTTTTCATTCCGTTTGGCCACGTCATGGACGCAAACCCAGCCGCGGCGTTCCGCATTGGCATTGGCCACTTTGTCATTCATTGTGCGCTCGCCGCCTTCGCCACCGGTCTCTACATGATTGCGCACCTCGCCAACGAGCACGACGCCAGTGGGTCGAGCTCGGGCAGCTCGGCTCCGGTCATGTCGACGCAGACCGCGTCACTCATGGTGGCGATCCCGATTGGTCTCTTTTTGTTTGCCTTGGCCCTCGTCGCGGGTCTTTCGTGGGCGGCGGTCGCGCGGTCGGTGGGTGTCGGCGCCGCCGAAGTGCTCATTGGTGTCTACGTGACGCCCCTCGTGAGTCTCCCAGCGCTCGTCTTTCTCTACTGTGTGCCCATGACATTGCTCTTGCTCGAAGTCATGTGGATGGAAGGCGGTGCCGAGCATGTCGCCACGCGCTCCGAGCCGACGTCTGTGAAAGAAGCCCACGACACCTCCTAAGTGTAATAGCTAAAGCAGTGGCGACGTGCTTACGTCGACATCTAGGAGCCAAACGCTGCCTGGACGACTCGAGTGCTTCACTCTGTCTCGACTCGCTTCAACAACAAGCGCACATAGCTCCGTGGCTTCCTGTAGATGAACGTGTTTTGCGCATTCGTTGTAAATGTTAAGGCGTCGCTTGTGTAGGTGTGAGACCATAGAGACCAAAGAGAGAGGTGGCTAAGAGCGAAGACTAGCACGCTCTTCACTTGCTCGTCCGGCCATGGCGGCGCAGGTGGCGGTCAAAGTAGCATTGAGTATTTAGAACGCAGTAGTTACGTCGTAGTATTGCAATAGAGGTGTTCCAGGCATTATCTAGTGAAGTCCAAGGGCTCGTACCAACGCATTCTTATCTCAGCAAGCTCCAGCACCTCGGCCGACCACAGTCCATGGGCAGCTGTGTTGGCGCCACGAGGTTCGCGATGAAAATGCATATTTTGCGAATCGTGTTGACCAATGGCATCGACGCTGCCAGAAAGCAAGCATGTCGTTCCAGTCTCTGCTCGAGTCGACGACGGTCGCCGTTGCGCCGGACGAAGCGTCGAGCAGCGACTCGCTCTACGACGGCGCGTCGAGTGGCGGCGACGCCTCCGACGACGACGACGAGAACGAGAGCGACGGCAACGAGGCCAGTGGCGCCGAGACGGGCAAGCGGCCGCGGCAGGAAGATACCTTTGTCGAAGACGAGGACGACTCGGACCTCGAGCGCCAGGTACGACATCGACGCACCGCGGCTCGTTGCACAGTGGTGTCTAGATCTGGGGCAAGCGACGGCGCCACATCCGCGGCCTGCGCAAGCGGCGCAAGGAGAAGAACCTCGTGCCGCCCGAGTTTGCCGAGCTCATGGGCGAGGCCAACGCCGCGTACATGTCGGGCGACCTCGACCGCGCGATCGCGATGCTAAAGGACTTTATCAAGAAGGCGCCAACCGTGCCGGACCCGTACCACACGCTCGGCTTGATCTACGAGAAGCAAGGCGACGTCCAAAAAGCCATTCAATTCTACCTCATCGCGTGCACGCTCACGTCATCGGTCTGCTCCTTCGATCCATATATTAGCTATACTGCGGACGCTAGGACGCTGCGCTCTGGCGACGTGTGGGCGAAATGGCCAAGGAGATTGGGAATCCCGACCAGGCGACCTACTGCTTCAAGATGTATCGTTGCTGGCAGCGATGGCGTTATGCTTGACAAATGCCTGTGTTTAGGGCCTGCCACGCCGACCCGAAGGACGTGGCCACCTTGTATGCGTACGCCGAGGTGTGCAAGGAGCAGGGCGACAACCGGCGCGCGGCCGAGACGCTCAAGAAGATTGCGTTGCTGGTAGAAAACGACCACAGATGTGATTTCACATTTTCCGTCTGTAGACCCCGGACGACCTCGCGATCTGGCTCCAAGTGGCCGAGTGTTTTCACTCGAACGGGCAAAAGGTCGAGGCCATCGACGCGCTCCAACTGTGTATTCAGCGCTCCGCCCACAACGACGAAGCAGTCCAATTTGGTACACATTTTGCACTTTTTCAAAACGTCAAACCTGCAAAATATCGAAATTGATGGATAGAGCTCCACGCGGTCAACATGCTCTCGGACCTCTACATCACGCTCAAGCAGTACCCGGACGCCGTGGCGCTCATCGAAGCCATGTTTGATCGCAAGAAAACGGCCGACGACGATGAAATTCAAGATACGCTGCCCCTCGACATTGTCGTCAAGTACGGCATTTGCCAGCTCTTCCTCGGCGACCTCGAACTCGGCGACACCATGTTCCAAATCCTGTACGCCGTAGCCGCATTTGTCTTCTTGTGACCTAATTTTTGCTGGGGGTAGGTATGCACAGGACCTTGCGACGTTTGGGGACCTGCATATTGACGTTGCCGAAGCGTACGCGATTGTGAGCGGCCACGACGCGACCGTCATCTCGATCCTCGAGAAGCTCCTTGGTGTCCCAAGCCTCTGCACCGACGTACGCCCATTTCTCATTTTTTGCCATTTTGTCATGTTTCTTGGCCGCTAGAAACTGTACATGCTCTTGGGTCAAGCCTACGAGCGGCAAGGTGCGGCCGACGTGGCGTTGGGCCATTTTGAAAAGGCGCTCGCGGCCCAAGCGCAGTTTACCGCTGTGGACCCCCACGTATGTGTTGACGGCGACGCAAAGTTGCATCTTTTCTGGTCTAGGTCGCGTGGAGTGCGCTCGCGCTTTGCTTGCAGCTCACGCAGATTGTGCGCGGCCTCGACCTCTTTGAATTGTACGTCTCGAACGCCGTGCTGCTTCCGCCGATCCGGCCGCACTGGGTCAACTCGCGGGCGTCGTCGGCCATGACCAAGCGCGACGACCCGCCGACCGAAGACGGCGCCGACGCCGAGATGGGCGACGAGGACATGGACGACGACGACGAGGATGACGACGACGACATGGACGACGACGAAGACGACGACGGCGAAGAGAACGACTCGATGTCGGGCTGGAGCGACCCGGCGTTCTCCGTGGACGCCATGGAGAACGGCATTCGTCTCAAATTGCTGCTGGTGTATGGTCGTCTCCACCGCGCCAACGGTATTGCTTGGTTCGATGCGGCATGACGCAGGAAACATTCGCCGTAGGCAACCCCGACATGCTCTGCAAGGTCGGCATTCCCGTCATCATGCTGTCGCTGCAACAGTCCAAGCGCTTGATTGGCACGCGCCGTCTCATGCGCAAGATGCAGGTACGATATGATGATGCTTTTCTGTCGATGTATCGTGATATTGCTAGCGGTACTATGACGACAAGTCCAACCAAGGCGGCGGCGACTCGTCAAATGCGCCCATCAACGACATGCAAGCCAACGTCTGGCTCACGATGCGGGCGACGTACGTTGTCAACCCCGACGACCCGATCGCCCGGGACACGCTCATTGGCATCGTCCTGCGCGTCGCCCAGCAAATTCTTGTGCTCAAAGCGCTCTCGAAAGCCGAGCACTACGAGCTCATCACGGACGTCGGCCATGCGCTGACAGAGATTGGGCAACCCGCGTGCGCGATCGAGCTCCTCACCGAAGTCAACTGCAGCGACAAGGTCTCGGACCCGGCGTTGCGGTAGGACATTTTGTCTATCCTCGCGTCTCGGTGCCATATGTGCGAGTAGGTTCAATCTGCGCTTCCAAGCGCTCACGACAGCGCTCGCGTTCAACGAGAACCGCATGGCGTACGAGTGCGCGCGCCTCAACGTCGTGGAAGACCCGCTCGACGTTGGCTACTGGAGTCTCTTTGGCCACGTCATTTCGCACACGGGTGTCTTTTCCTGGCACCAGAAGTTCCTCGTACGGTCTTATTGTGCCAGTGACGGAAGATTCACCGAGTCGATAGGCCAAGATCCTTCGCGACCACCCCAAGTGCGTGCCGGCCATGATCATGGCCGGCCATCGGTCGTCGGCCTACGACTTTTCGTCGCTGGCGGTGGGCGAGCTCACCCTCGCGCACCTCGAGCTCCCGGACGACCCGCTCGTGCTGCTCTGCATCGGCCTCGCGTACCTCAACTCGTCCATGCAGCGCACGGTGCAGGACCGGCAGCAGTCGGTGGTCAAAGCCTTTGCGTTCTTCCAGACGTACCACGGGAAGCGCGTCAAGCAACAAGAGCGATTGCTAGCGCACGGCGGTTTTGGCGTCGACGTTGCCCACGTTGAGGGCTGGTACAACACGGCCCGCGCCTACCACCAGCTCGTACGTCACATGCGCAGTCTCCCTGTGATCCATGGGTCCATTAGGATCTCAATCATTTGGCGATCGCCATGTACGAGCGTGTGCTGCGCTTCCACGACAAACATCCCGAGATGCGCGCCGAGTACCGTCTCTGCCGCGAGGCCGCGTACAACTTGTCTCTGGTCTACAAGAAGAGGTACAAGGACAACTGTATCCTTGCTATATGTGCTGAGCGACAAACTAGCGGCGCTACGGACCTCGCCCAGTACCTCCTCCACAAGTACTTGGTCATGGACTAAGTGTATAATGACTTTGCACGAGAAGCACATCCGAGGTTGTTACAGCAAAAGATCCTAGTACGACTGGTAGGGACGCCAGAGGCCCAAGACAAAGGCCAATGGCAAGTCTCGCTGGACGACGAGCCAATGCGAGGTGCACGCTTCATCGATCCTTGTCGCCCGAAGGACGTGGTAGAACGACGGCTTGTCCCGCGTGCTCGAGACCGCCGACGGTTCATACACGCGCACGAGGACGTGGGCGCCAGTGCAGAGTCTATGTGCAATGGGGGGTCCGTGTCGGCGCAACAGGGGCAGTAGTCGACCGAGCGCAGCCTCGACCAGCGAGTCGCCTTGCGTCACTACCTCGATGCGCAGCGGCAGCTGCGGGACGCCGAGCAGAGCCATCTCCGTCTCCGAAAGAGAGACTATCACAATGGTCGTTGGAAGCACCGTGTTGGTCATTGCCACATTGCGAGCGAGTGTTGCTGGCGCCAGCGTTAGCGTCTGTGTCGATGGGGGCAGGTCCAGGGCCATCGGAAGCAGTTGCGCCAGGACCGGGCGCAGCGGTGGAGGAAGCCCCGTCTCGAGGCGGGTCAACGGGTGTGGATAGGGGTGGAGAGCCAGCGCGCATTGGATCACGGGGCGGAGCGCGTGCACGTCAAAGGTCGCTTGGACAATGTTGTCTGTAAACGAGTCGTAGAGCGACACTTCTAAGAGGACGCTGGCGTCCCAGAGTTCGCGGAGTGTGAGATAGTACAGTGTGCCTCGCAACGTAAGGAGTGTCCGCAGCACGAGCGGCCGGTCCGCTGCAGAAGGTACCTTGGGAGCATGGGGTCGTGACGTCGTTGTCGTCATCGCCGGCTCGTTCGTTGCTGGGATGCCATCGTCGACAAGTGGCGTCGCGCTTGTTAGCGTCGAGAGCAAGGCGCCATGCCCGTCGAGCGTCGGCGCCAAGACGAGCGTCTTGAAGAGCGGCGATAAGATGAGCGCGTTGGCATCGATGCGATGGCCGAGCCGCCACTGCTGAGCGTCGTTTGGCTTGTAGCTCACAAGACTCGGGCAGACACGAAGGACGTGCTCCATCGCGATGCTGCAGACATACTCGCGCTCGTCCTCGACCGAGCTCGCACAGATTTGAAGCGACCACACGTCGGTAAACGCGCTAGCACACACTTCATTGACAACAAGTGTCAAGGGCGTGCCTTGCAGATGGAGCGAGCCGCGGTAGATCGGCGTCGTTCTCACTGGCATTGCAGCTGCAGACGCCTCGGCGGTGCCCCGTTCGACGAGCACAAAGGAACCGTTCTTGAAGCCGACAGCGAGCGTGCGAAATAGGCGGTCCACGAGCTCTGCGATGAGCGATGGCTCCGAGGGCTGCAAGAGGTACTTGTCGCCATCGACAACAAGCCGCGAAATGTCGGACGCGAAGAAGGTGAGGACGTCTTCTTGCGCAGTCTTTGGCTCGTACGCAACAAAGTGCAGCGCCAACCCCTGCGTGATGCGCTCTCGCACGACGTGGAAGAAGAGCGAGTGGCCGTCGACAACAAACGAGCCGTTGAAAACCACATCGGGGGTTCCGTGGGCGTGTTCGAGCAGCCTGGGAATGGCGGGGTCGACCTGATGCAGCGTTGATCCTGAGGTGAGCGCCATGCTACACAGACTATTGGTATTATGTCGAAGTACCGGGTCCGCACCTTGTGGACACGAGACCTCGCTTGGCGTACTCGTCCAGCGTAGCTTGTTTTTGCATAGCCTCGCGCTTCCACGTAATGGCCTCGAGTTCCATTTCTTGCAGCATGCCCTAGCGTAATAGCGTGAAGAGAGGTCTGGAGAACATAATCAAGTACCTCAACGGACTGGAGCTTGGCCGACGTCGCATCGAGCTTGGCCTGAAGGGTTTCCTTGCCCATGGCGGAAACGAGCCCTTTGACTTTGGTGTTGATGACTTTGCGCCGGTGGTCCGAGATGGCTTGGCGCGACATGCTCGTCAGCTGCTCGATCATCACGTCCCGTTCCATGCGCTCTGATTGCAGCTCGAGGTCGACCTTTGTGAGCTTTGTGACCGCCACCTTGAGCGCTGCCTCGAGCTCAAACACTTTTTGGCCCAGCATCTTGTTGGCCGCGCGCTCGAGGTCCAGTTTTGCCACGAGCGTATCGATGAGTGCCTTGTCGTTCGTGCGCCCCGAGTCCAACTTGAGTCGCATTGCTTGGATCTCGTCTTTGGCTTCGAGCAAGTGACGCTCGAGCTTGAGCACGCGGTCGCGCGCGACCGGCAAATGCACGTCCGTCGGCTTTTCGGGCGACGGCGCCGGTGCATCGTTCGCTTGGCTTCCGTCGCCCTCATTGCCAGCGACTGTTGTCGTCGTCTGTCCACTCTGCAAGTCGGTCTCGAGCTGTTTGATGCGCGCCCGAAGCACGCGCATCTCGCTGTACTTGGCCTGCATCTTGTCGTGGTACAAGTGCCGGTTGTGCTGGCGCGTGACCCGCGGCGACATGCGCTTGCTCTCCTCTTGTTTGAGTAGCTCGAAATACAGATCACTCGCAAGGAGCGGCCGTGGACTCTCGCTCGTCGTCTCGGCGCGCATCGCAGTATCTAGTACATCACCTGCCTCGGGGCCTGACGAGCGTGGCCGGCTTTGGTTGGACGTGTCGCTGCTCCGAGGCCGCTGCGCATCCCCTTCGCCGCGGCTCGCGGGCTTGGGCATCTCGTACTCGAGCGCGGGCTTGAGCGGCGGTCGCTGCGGTACGATTTTCTGTTTGGCCCGCAGGACAGGTCGCAACAGCGGGTGAAGTCCGGCGCCACTACCGTCGTCGGTGCCCAGGCTTGGCGGACGAGCTGGCGACACGGCGCTGCGCAGCGCATGGGACTTGGTTCGAGGCGACGCCGACATGACCGCAAAACGTTTCCTGCCTTTCTGGTCGGTTGCACACGAAACCGCAGCACGCATTGTTGCGCGCGTCGACACGCTATCGCTCGCATTCAGGCGTACGTAGAAGGCGACCGGCCGCCGAACTGATATTCCTCGACCAACGCCAGCACTTGCAGCGCAAATCCAAAGTGATCCGCGCCATTCTGAATACGAAAACGCGACACAAGCGAATGATTGATTCATGCCTATTTTCTGTGCAAAATCAGGGCAGGTGCCGACTTGCACCGAAGTCGAAACCAAGGTATTGGACGGCTACGTGTCCTTAGTTAGCAGCGACGTAGTGACTGCAGCAAGTGCGCGGCAGCACGCAGCATGTCTTCGTCCGTCAAACACGTTCCTACAGATCCTTGTGAACGGCAACACTGCATGCCGAGCGCGCAACCTCGTGCACGTGGCGTCTCTGCGAGTACCGCAACTTGCTCCGACTCGATTATGCGCTTTGCCGTGTCGACTTGAGCGTCGTCGTCAGGAAACGTGGGGCAGGTAGCATCGTTAGAGACTTGGGGTGCGCCACAGTATTGCTCTGAAGGTTTGATTTTTCGTATGACGTCCAATGGGACAGTACCTACCTCTGACAACACGGGCGTCGCGCGTGCAGTTGGAGGACTCCTCAAGCGTCTTCGTCATTGCTGGTAAGTGATTCGGCTGTGTCAGTGACATTCGGGCCGTCGTCGATGACGGCAACGACAACGACGTGAGGACAAAGGTGTCTGCTACTGGTGTATGTAAAGACTCTGAGGGGTGTCAATGAGGCGCTACTTGCTCTTCCCGAAGACGCCTCGCCTTCTGCACGCATCTTTTGCAGTAGGGTACGTTGTGCAAGATTTGGCGCATTGCCTTGGGCGGCGTTTTCCAGCATCGCTTTCCTACGGCGCTGACATAGTTGCATCGACCGGTGGGCATGATCCAAGAATCTCTTCTGAGCGCTTCAACGACGCCAACTGACTGCCCAATTTCTGAAACATGTACCTGATATATACTATATTCCATTCAAGTCAAAAGAACGTGTATGCGTGACGACTTCACAAGATTGTTGATGTTCTACCTCATTTTGCGTCAAATGGGGTGGCATTGTAGTGTTATCGACAGCTGAATCCAGGGTGCATCGGAAGGGACTATCCGTGCCAGCGCACAATGAGTATCACGGCGACGGCGCAGCTCCAAACATCGCTGGGGCACCATGGTGACGTATATTTTATCCGGATGTTCTTATCCGGATAAAATGGGCACCGCGCCGCTGCGCGGCAGCATGAAGCCGACCTTGAACGTTTTTTGAAAGGTCGCGTGTTTCATTCTATGTACATAGTACATGACGCAGGGAGCCCGAAAACCAAAAAATGGTGCTCGTAGCGCACCTACAGCTTGAGCTATGCGTCATTCAAGTTTGCAAAAGCTGATACTAAATCTAGTATCAATGTATCGGTGTATCAGTCCGCCACCACACTACAATAGCAACTAACTCGAGCTGTAGGCACGCTACGAGTACCATTCTTTGGTTTTTACGCTCCCTGCGTCATGTACTATGCACATAGCACGAAACACGCGCCCTTTCAAAAAACGTCCAAGGTCGTCAACATGCTGCCGCGCAGCGGCGCGGTGCCCATTTCATCCGGATAAGAGTATCCGGATAAATCCCCGGGACCATTGCGCCCTGCCAGCACAGCCGAGTTGCCGAGGACAACGGCAAAGGTGGCAGCAGAAGTGGACATGCTACGTGCACGAGGCAAGTGCTCGATCAAAGTACATTGGCTGCTCTTATGCAAGTCTAGTAGAGCGTATATGACCTTGTCCACTTAGCTCGACCAGAGCTCTTGAATGTACGCCTGGTTGTGCTGGAGGTCATGCACAAACGCTGCCGCCGCGTCCGCCGAGAGGCCGCCGTGCTTCTGCACGACGCTGACAATCGCCTTGTGCACGTCCGCGCCCATGACCGTCGCGCCGCAGACGTACACGTGGGCACCGTTGCGGAGGAGCTCGTACACGTACGCGCCTTGGGTCGCAATCAAGTGCTGGACGTAGACCTTGGTCGCCGTGTCGCGCGAGAAGGCGCAGTGCAGCTGCGTGAGCGTGCCGCTTGATTGAAACGCAGCGAGCTCATCAGCATACAAGTAGTCTTCCGACTGCCGGCGGCAGCCGAAAAAAAGCACCGACGGGCCCACATTGGCGCCTGCGACGCGCTGCGCGTCACGCTCCTGGAGAAAGGCGCGCATGGGCGCGATACCAGTGCCAGGGCCAACCATGAGAATCGGCGTCGACGGGTCCGAGGGGAGCTTGAACGTCGACTTGCGCACCGTGACGCGCGCCGTGGGCCACGACCGCACCTGCTTCTTGCCCTGCTCGCCGTACGGGTTCGGACGCTTTGTCTTCTCCTGCGCGCTGTTGGGCAGCGCCATGTTGGCGAGGTGGTTGGAGCACACGCCGCGGAAGCGGCGGCCGTCGGCCAAGTCCGATTCGATCACGCCGAGCGTCACATGAATGCGGCTCGGGTGGACCGTCGAGGACGACGAGATCGTGTAGTAGCGGGGCTGGAGCGACGGGAGGACGTGAATGAGGGCTGTGAGCGGCATCGCGATCGATGGGAACGCCTCGAGGACGTCGGCGACGTTGCGGCAGCCGTCGACAATGAACGCATGGTACGCGTCCTTGCCTTCGGGCGACGCGAGATGCAAGAGCTTCTCCTGCTCGGCCGCGTCGGTCGCAAAGTGCGCAAGGTGCGCCAGTGCGCCCTTGCGCGGCGCACCGTTCAAGTCGACGTAGCGCGACAAAATGTCGTCGACGGTCGCGGGCGTCGGGAACGGGTGCTTGGCCGTCTTGGTCGCATCGGTCGGGGTCAGCGCAATCCATTGGCTGAGCGTAAACTTGAGCGACGACGCGACGCGCGTCACGATCGAGAGGTCGTTTTCCGGGAGGATCGCGAGGTTGTCGGCGGTCACATACGTCAGCGGCGTGTTCTTGAGGTCGAATTCGAGGTGCAACGTCGAGCCGCTCGCTGTCGACTGGCGCAGTTCGCGCGTCTCGACGAGCTTGACCTCTGTGTTGTGGAAGAAATGCTTGTTGGAATTTTGGATCTCGTCGTCCTGGAAGACACGGGCCTTCGCGGGTTCGCCGACGACCTTGCATTCGAACGCAACGTGCGGCGGCTTGGTCTTGATCGACGAGGCCGGCGCCGGCTCGTCATCGTCGCTGCCGACCTTGTCGGCCTTGCGGAGCGTCTTCCAGAGGTCGGCGCGCCACGCGTCGAAATCTTCTTCGAGCGAGTCGTCGTCGTCGCCTTCGCCATGCGGGTACACGCGCACCGCGCCGTGCTTCTCCATGAGTGTGTTGATCGCGCGGCCGACCGCGTTGTACTGCTCGTACTGCTTGTTGCCAAGGCCAAAGACCGTAAACTTGACGTTGCCAAGGTGGCCCTTGGGAATCGCATTGTCGTCGTCGCGGAGGTACTTCATAAAGTCGATCGCGTTGTCCGTCGGATCGCCCTCGCCGTACGTTGCGACAACAAAGATTGCATGCGCCACGCTGTGGAGCGTCGTCGGGTCAAAGTCCTCCATGTCAATGGCCTCGACCGCAAAGTGGCCCTGTTCGTTGCCCGTGTCAGCGAGCGTACGCGCAAAGCTCTGTGCCGTGCCGGTCTGCGAGCCAAAGAAGACGAGGGCGCGGCCACCGGGCGCTGCGCTCGACGTGGTCGCGGCCACGGCCGTCGACGTGGAAGCGGCGGAACTGCTTGACGACGCGAGCGCCGCCCGGCGCTTCTCCTCTTGCATCGCCTTGTAGCGCGCCTCAAAGGCCTTGTCAGCCTCGGACGCGCTCGACTTGAAGAAGTAGATGGCCGAGATCGCGATCACGAGCACCGACCCGAGGTAGACAATGGCGTCGCTCATGCTGCGCTCCTGGTCGTCGTCCGTCGATGGCTTTTGCACACTGAGCGGCGTGTGCCTGGCCCATGGGGCCTGCCTTTTTGACCAATCAGAATGGACGCCACCCTGTCACACACAACGTCTTTTATTGTGACTTGCATACAATGCCCAAGTACATGTGGTATAAAAATGCGATGCCGCCTGTCCGCTTCGTAAAGGTGGCATATGCCACATTGGAACCGCGAGAAAAGTGCCACGAGCACAAAAGACGACACGGAAGATCTTGCGATATGAAGTAGCGCAGACGCTGCGAAAGGAAAGCAAGCCAACTCGCTCGTTGCGGGTAGATTCCGCACTTGAATTGGCTCACAGCGAGAAAAATGGTGGAGACTTGACACCAGAGAGGGACCGGTTCGTTGGTGGCCAGCGGAATGTAAACGTCAAGCAATAAGCGTGGATTTGAGTATTTCCTATCGAGGTATGTAATACTAGATAGAAATAGCAGATTGGTGTGTGGCACAGAGCAAGCACTGTAAAAGCTTCCAGAGGGTCACGCGCGCGCATTGAGTGGGATCGGTCGCTCGTGCACCGCTTGCCACGTCACCGAGCAGCTCGTCTATTTTCGGCATATTAAAAGTGGCAGATTGCCCACAAAGCTTGGATGACGCCGTGGATGACAAGAGCGCGATGCGATGACCAATCCGTCCGGCAGCATCAGCATCCCGTTGGCGTCTTGCCTCCTTCTCTGTAAAAGAAGGAATACATAGGCCAGCAATTATGTCCCACGTCCCCAGCCACTGTCGACACGTTACATTCGATCGATCAATCGGCCGCGCCCCTGAACCCGCTTGGTGCGCGTCAATCGCGATAATCGTAGATCTGAGTGCTATGAATGACAGCCTGTTGCCCGCCCCACGCAAGCAATATGTTGGACCAAGCAACCGTCTTGGTGATAGCAGCATCGTCACCAAGGCTGTCAGCCCGAGTATAGATCGCTCGTCTGATGTGGCGGCTTGAGATCCCACATGGTGACAAATGTATTTTGTGGTATTCATGATAAACTTTGATACCGACGAAGCCATCGAGACAGCGGTTTACGCAGCGACGGAGAGCAGTGCCGGTCGATACTGCAGCGACGTCGGGCTTCGCACAAGGACGAGACCCAGTGGCGCGTTGGCGACGCGCGGCAAAAACACATCTTGGAGAGCTTCGCAGTGGCAAAAGCCAGTGCCCAGGATCGGGCTCTTGTTCTTGGTTTCAATCGCCGACGTCACATAGCCAATGCACGCGCGACCCTACCCCGCACCGATGACTCCAGAGACGTACAATGCGCAGTCTGCGTACCGCTTGGGTTTTGGTCGACTTTTGCTGCTGCTTGGCCGTTGGCGCCAGGAACCCAGTCCACTTGGGGCTTGCGACAAATGCCGCCACGTCGTCGTCCGTGGGCATGCAAATCTAGTCATGTAGCATCATTAACATCGAGACATGTCGCATCGTCGGTGTAGACCATACCATCGCATTGACTTCGAGGCGGCCGCGCCGCGGCATCTGCAGCTGAACGCAGATAAGCGTCGGCATGGCCATGGGCATGAACACGCGGTCTACAGCAACATGACTATCAAGCAATGATTTGACATGTCGCATCACCTTCCGTCGCAGGATCCGCTGGCTTGTAAAACGGGAAGGGCGCCATGTACGCCTCGCCACGGAGTACGCAAAAGTCGGGCGACGCGTCTGTGAGCTCAAAAAGCGTCGACCACGACGGCTGGAAAGGTGACGCGACTTGCAGAGACTCGTACGAAACGCGCTTGGCTTTTGGGCGGCTCGCTACCTTGGCCTCCTCCGAGGCATGCACCGACGCCCAATACGCTGCACCCGCACGCGTGTCGGGGTAGTCCCGAGGAAAGCTACACAGCAGTACACTAAGCCCATAACGCTCGTGCACGACGGACCTTAGAAGACCGTGCCGTGTCCGTAGCGCATCGAGCTCGACCAGGCCAATCTAACCGTTGGTTCCATTAGCCAATATGCAACGAACCGGCAACGACGCACCGCAGAAGCAGTGGCAAAGACGCCGGCCTTCAGCACACACGGCGCGTACTCGGGCAGCGTGATGAGGTCGTAGCCGTGGGCTTGCCGCACAACGAGAAGCGGCATCGGCGCCAAAGCCCGGCCTGTCGCGGGCTTGCGGTTCACAATGTGGTCAGGCACGAACGCTCGCCGAAGCTCGAGTCGAGTTTCGTGGCTCCAAAGGCCCGACACGGGCGCCGACGCGCCAACCTCCGTGGCCACTGCAAGCTTATTGGGCTTCTTTTTCGCGTTTGAACTGTCAGGAAAGACGTCGCCGTACTTGGTGTCTTGGTTGCCAGCGTTCGCCCAGCGCATAACAGACGCAAAGAGCGTCGAGAGTGCTTCGAGCGACGGCTCGGCCGCCAGCGCCGCGCGGTCCATGGGCGCGGTGATATCTTGGCCCGTGATCGGGCACAGCACCTTGGATTTGTCGACGTCCGCCGGCGTCGCAACGAGGCTCGCGCTCGTAGCGACAAGCGGCTGGCGAAGCGGCAACTCGCGCGGGTCGCAGGCGCTCCATGTCTGAATCACAGGCGTCGCTTCGTCTTTGGGCCAGAAAAGGGCGGTCGACGTTCCGTGCGGCACAACGAGCTGCTGCATGATGCGGCCAGCGTGCTTGCCCCGAACCTCGAACCGAGACAGCATGCGTCGGCGATCGTGGATGCTTAGCCTACACGCGGCATGAGCAGACACCAGCAGATACTGGGTTCGTACCCGTCGGGTGCGGCTTCGCGAAACGCGTGGAGCACTTCGTCCACGATACTCGGGTGCACCCACACCCAGCAGATCCGCGACGTGTCGTCTGCTTGAGGCTGAAGCATGAGCTGGACAGGCCCGATGGCTTGAAGCGGAAAGCACGACGGATGGTAGAGCACGACGCTGCCTTCGATCGCGCCGGCCAGCACCTCGGGCAAAAGGTCGCCATCCATGCACATGGTGATAGCCTCCTCAATCGCATCGAGTGACCCTTGGAGCTCGATGACTGCAGTGTACGAGACGTCGGCAATTGTTGCCGGAGCGTCCAGCGCCGCCGAGATGCTTCGGTCCAGTCGGTGCACGGGCACGAGGAGGCCATACCGATGCTCCATGACGAAGCGCTTGACGAGCCAGCGGTGCGTCGGGAGGTAGTTCGTCTTGGCCTTGAGCAGCAGTCGGCGCCGATGCTTTCGGCAGCGCTGGACACTCGGGTCCGTTGTCTGTCGCTTCTTGTTACGCAGCCGCACGGGAAACTTGTGCGAGTTGTAGGCGTTGGTCCGGCGCCGAAGATGAAAGTCTTTGCGGCGCTTGAGGAGCGTAGCGTGGCCATGCTTCTCGAAGCCACTTGCGCGGTGCAGCTCGCCGAGCTCCGGGGCGCGGGCCGTGGCAAAGCTGAGCACCTCGACGACTTCCATGCGGATCTTGGTGGTTCAACCGATTCTAGTCGAGGCCATTGGCGGATTTGTATTTTATTTTGTCCAATGAAATGCGCGTCCTTGGAGGGCGTTGGATTGGTCCATATTCCATTCAAGGTAGCCTCGGGTTGGTCCAATCTGTCGCGGTAACGACTTACTTTTTGCCAATCAAACGCCACGAAAAACGAGCCGGGATGGCGCAGCGGCAACCGACGCGGCCTGCCGGTGGACGCAAGCTAGCGACGTCCATCAAAGCGACGCGGGACCTCCTGGGTATGGAAAAGCTTCCGCGCATTTCCTCGCCGCGGGAGTCGCCCGGCGACCAGCTTATGGCTAATCCACCGCCCGAAGCCGACGACGGCGACGACGAGGCCCAGCGCGTTCAAGGCTACGACCTCCAATACTGCGAGAGCATGCTCGTCGCGATTGAGAAGGAGAGCACGCAAAACAGCCAGCGGTACATGCGCATTTGCAGGCGCTTCCATCTCCATGCGACTAGGTACCTCAATATGCTCGAGTTCAAGGAAGGCAAAGATCCCAAGCTCGAGTCGATGCGAGCAAGGTGGCCTCCACCTGCATAGCGCATAGTCTGTACATTATGTCATACGTGTAGTTTCAAGTCGCTCACGGACGAGCTACGAGAGCTTGAAGTGCTGTGTGCCAGCGGCTGGGACACAGATGACATTGACGAGGCGCTGCGCCGCCTGCCACGTGACGTTGTTGCCATAGAAGCCCATCGCTGGGCTTCGTCATGAGCCCAACAATTATAGCGAGAAGCAAGTTGCATCATGTTGATTCACAATGTCGTACAAGCTACGCCTTCGTCTTGCAACGCCGAGATGCCCATGTTGGGCCATCCCAACGATATGCAAATCATCTAGACGGTCAGGTGGGCTCGTGGTATGCTGACGGAGTGCTCCTGCGCTGCTGTGCCCTACTACTGCAGCCTCTCAGACTCTAGGTTTCGGCCAACATCCCATTCTTCGTTGCAGATACCAAGCAACAACTACTGCATGGCAACAGTCCAGAATTCGAAGCAAAAATATATGGACTATATGCACTCACAATGTATAGGTTCACTCGACAACAGCATGTGACAAGGCACTTCGACTAGTACCCGTAGAGAGCGCGCTTGGAGTTGAAGTACGTCGTGTTGGTGTAGACCATCTTTCGGTAGTCACCGGCGCAGTGCGGGAAGATGATCGACGGGTCGGCCTCCGACGGCGCGAAGAGCGCCTTGCCCGTGTTGATCGAGACGTAGATCGCAAGGAAGGTTGAGACGATGACGGCAAAGTAGGCAAAGATCTTCTCCGAGAGCGAGATCGTGCCGTTGAACGTCTTGAGGTAGAACACAATCGGGAGGATCATGCAGCACGTGGCGGTCGACGACGCACCGACAAAGTCAAGGAGGTCGCCGAAATGGTCCTGCCACGCGATCGCAATGGCCGTGCAGATGGCCACAATGAGGATGCGGAGACAGGCGGCCTTGGTGTAGTTGCCGGGAATCTTGTACGACGCCGTCATATCCGGGCCCTCGAGCGCCTCGGGCTTCTTGGGTTCTTCCTGGACCGCCTCGACGTCCACATAGGCGCTGTCGGTCTCGTGCGTAATTTCAAACGAGTGCTTGTGGAAGCCAAAGATGAGACGCTCGGCGATGAAGAAGGCCGGGAACATAATGACAGCGAACGCGATCGTAATGTGAAGCTGCATGAAGAGGAAGGCGAGGACGACACCGCCGCGGGACGCCGAGAAGCCGAGCTTGGAGCCCGCGACCGCAAAGAGGAGGTTGCCAGGAATCTGGCAGCCGACGACCGAGACACCCGTGACCGAGACGGCGAGGAAGCAGCACGAAATAAACGTCATCGTCACGAGGATGACACGCGGCATGCGCGTGGGGTCCGAGTGCTCACGCTGGAGGGCCGGGATGACGATGCCGGCGCCGTAGGCAAGCGCCAAGTTGCCAAACACCGTGGTGACGCTCTTGAACGAAAGGTCCGGCGGCGGCGTCGAGAGGCCATCGTTTTTCTTGTTCACGTTGTCCACGAGGAGGTAGAGAGCAATGCCGTCGGCGAGAAGCGTGCCGAGGCAGCCGGCGGCGGCGGCGCCAGCACCTTCCTTGAGCGTCGGGACGAGGCAGATCGGGAGGAGCACGAGGCCCATAAAGACGATCCATGTCGTAGCGTCGTACGTGTCGGGGAACATGGTCGTGAGGAGCGAGCCGCCAAGCACCAAGAAGACGATCGGGACCATCGTGCACACGAGCATTTGCGAGATGACGACGGCCCAGCGACCAAAGCCGCCCATGCACCA